CCCCAAAACCCCAAAACCCCAAAACCCCTCAATGAAGATCTTAAATTTGATTGGAAATAATTAAGTTGATGCAATATTTAAATCCGAACAAGTAAAAATTTATAATTATTAAACTTATTTGAATGAGTCAACAAGAGACAAACAGCAACTAAACAGAAGGTGAGGTTCATATAGAGTCAACTATTATAGTCAAATTGAATACTGATTTGAATGACAGGAGTGTAGTACCTACTGAATATGCACTTAAAGAGATAACTCATCAAGCTACTAATACCCAGGTAAGACAAACCACTTTGAGATGCGGGACTAATATTTTGTCAGAGTGAAAATTAGACTCAAGATAAAAAGATTGAGTTTAAGAGCAAATCAATGCTCAATCAAGATTCTTAGCCATTTATGCCAGCTTCTAAGTACCTAAGCAAGATGGGGATACCAAGCTTCAATGACTTCTTTATGCAGGTAAGCTCTAGTGAAACTCACATAGAACTTAAATTGTAAAAATCTTTATAGGATACCATTGATTCAGAGAGACTGCAGAGAGATCTTGAGAAAGCTATTAATGTCAACAAGATGCAGCATCACTATATCTAGAACTTGCAGAAGGCTAACCTGTTCCTTAAGCAGAGGCTAAAGGAGTATGAAGATCTTGATATGATGATAAAAACTGGAGTTAATCCGATGATGGGCAGTCTTGCCACCACTATGGACCCCACATATTTCCCTTCAGCAATAGCAAACCTCTATCAGCAAAAGTAGAATGACTACAAACTAGTATCTATTGGTCAGGTTGATAGTGTCACAAAGCATGAGCCAGAGTTTGACCAAGATGAGTTTATCATTTAAAAAATTCAGAGATCAGGTAGACTCATGGGAAAGCCTAATTCACTTCATTCTACACCTGTATATCCTCCAAAGCCTTATGATGATTATCATCAGAGTTATCACAAGCCTGCTCACAGATCTAATGGTGGCTACTACGAATCTAATGACAATTTTTACAATCCTGAGAAAGAAAACTCTCCAAGAAATTACAGCAGAAGCAGTAGATATCCACCCAATGATCATTATCACTCAGGCTATCATCCTCATCAGCATCATAATCATTCAACAGTCAATCATGGCCATGGTTATTGCTGTGAGAATCCTCATTGCCATAATAACAGACCAAGTGTTTATTAAGAATCTGTTTCATAGGCAAGAGCAGCAGGAGGATTCAGACCACCAACTAGTAAACCTCAAGTTAGCAACTATGATTTTGAGGAGAATTCAAGTCATAATCATGTTTAGAAGAAAAGATACAATCAAGAATTACCAGCTTAGAATGGAAGAGGCAGAGGGGCAACTAGAAACTACAATGATAGGTCAAGAGAGCAGAGTCTCAATGGAGGACATAAAAAGCCTTTTAACAACTCTGGCAGAGGGTAGTTCAGAGGAGGAGCAGGAAGAGGTAGTGATAGAGACACTGATAGAAAACCTTTCATACCTTAAAGAGGAAGAGGTGGTATGAATGTACCTGGAGGAGCAGTCAACAGATCAAAATCAAGAGGCTTTGACAAGGAGGATACAGAAGGATACAATAAAGGAAGGGGTATTAGAAGATCAATTCGAGGTGGAAGAGGTGATATAGATGAAAAATTTGATTCTAGACATCAGTCAAGCAACAGAAGATTTGAGGATAGAGCTAGAACTAGAGAACAAAGTAGAACTAGTGAGAGAAAAGATCTAAGGCCTGCTAACTTTATAAGGGATATTGAGAAGAGAACGAGAGAGTTTGAAGATCAAAAGAGGGACTTCAAGGAATATTCTCACTAGAGACAAAGCAGAGGAAGATCAGGAATGTAGAATAGATTTGAGGAGGGAAAAAACAGCTAATCAAGGTCAGCAAGAAGAACTGAGGCTCTTGAAAGTGAGAAGCCTTAAGTTATTGAGATTTCAAATCATAGAACTGTGATTCAGAGAGAACCAGAGATCAGATCTCCCCTAATCAGGTCAAATGACAAAAGAGAGTCACTCCAAAAGGAGTTTGTAGAAGATGAGCCTCTCCACCAAGAACAAGTTACTTAGCAGGAGAAGATAGATGATTTGCTTGAAGATGTCAAAGAGAGACAACAACAAGAGACTATTTAGCATGATTATACAGATCAATCTAAATGTAAATATATTTTATCCTATAAAAAATTTTTAGAAGAAGAGGCACCACCAGTAGAAATGAGTAAAGTTGAAATGATCATTCCATAGATGGAAGAACCTCAAATGCAGAAGCCCACCATGATAGAGAAAGAGATCAAGCCCACCAGAAAATTGACTGTTTAGGAGAGAGCACTTATGGAGAAGTTTGAGAAGCAGTTGAAAGCAGCAATTGCATAGAATGATATTCAAGAGATTGCTGAGTTGGTCTTTGATATCAAAGAGAACGAGTTTCATGAGGATGGATTGATCGACATCACTGAGGCTGAGAGAATCCTCTTTGATGAATGAATGATCAGTTGCTGAACGGTCAGAAGTAGAGGAGTGGTTTTCTGATCTATGAGCTTGCAGATTGCATCATCATCTAATCATAATCTTAAATTATTTTAATTTTTATTAATGTATTTATAATTTAATTATCTTATATTAATTTATTATTAAATTTGCATCTTGGGGTTTTGGGGTTTTGGGGTTTTGGGG